ATCGCTTGAGCCCAGGAGTTTGAGGTTGCTGTGAGCTAGGATGACGCCACGGCACTCACTCTAGCCAGGGCAACAGAGTGAGACTCTGTCACAAAAAAAAAAAAAAATGCTAGTCTATAGTTTAGTCAGTAGTAGTGTGCTAATGCTAACTTCTTAGTTTGGACGAATGTTCCACGGCTATGAGAAATATTAACAGGGGAACCTGGGTGAAGGAAACATGGAAACTTTCTGTACTACTGTTGGAACTTTTCTATCATTCCAAAATTATTCCCAAATTTGAAAGTTTAAAAGAAATAACAATGTTTTTGCTCAGTGACCTTCTCCGCGACAACTGGGAGAATGTCCCCGGCTTGAGAAAGCCCTCACTGTGGTCCCGTCCTAGATGACAGAGAGACGAAGGCCTGTCGTGAGACGGAGGAAGCCACCAAAAATGACGCGAATACCCACGGCAGCCACCGTCTGTTAAAGCGGAGTGCTGGAGAACGCAGCTCTGGAGCAAGTTTCCTTCCAGGTCAAGCGCAGTGAGGAGTGAACGAGCCCACGCGGATGAGGGATCGAGACCGGGCCTGGCCGGCCACGGCAAGTGCTGGGTGAGTGTTAGCTCCTGTAACTTAAGGAGCGCTTCACCCCAGGCCTGGCCCGCAGGGCCTCATACACCGCCTGGCAGATGGCCACAGCCACCCTGTGCAGCAGGGGTGTGTGAAAAGCCCATCTCGAAGAAACCCAGGAAGGTGGGTCACTGTAAGTGGAGGGGCCAAGACTGCAATGGCCAGACTCGGTCGAGTCACCACCATCTGGGTCGCACAGAGGAAGCTCCTGTCCTGGGGACAGAGAGGGTCCTGGGGATGATAATTATCATGAGGAAGGTAAGAAGTAGCAATAATAGGAATTACAGGGAGTCTTTACTAAGCCCCTACTACAGGAAGTTTACACTGTGCTAAGACTTTATTTAGCTTAATATTCACAACGATCCTTCAAGATAGGTTTGCCTCTGCTTTTACAGATGGAGAAAGTAAGGCTCAGAGAAGGTAGGCAACGTGCCCAGTGTCACACAGCAGATGGGTGAACCAGCCCCGGAACCCAGGTCAGCCTGCCTTTGCTGCCAGGCCACCTGCTGGCTCTGCAGGTGCCCCTCCACCTCCACACTGAACCCAGGGACAGAGGGGCTGGGCAGGGCACCCCACCTGGCGGTGCACCACCTTGGCGTGCTTGAGAATGGCAATGATGTCGCCCACCACGGTCACGCCCAGCTCATTCATGATTTCCTTGTTGAGATCCAGCAGCATGCTCTTCTGAATCCTGCAGGGGAGGGTCGGTGGTGAGGCCCCAAGTTGGGGGGTGGGGGGAGCCAGCTCCCCGCCTCCCTCTCCCCAGGTTCAGCCCTGCCCCTTCGGCCACCTCACCTATTGTCCACAAACATCACGGCGTAGTTGACAGCAGGTCCTGGAGGAATGCCAGCTTCCTTAAAGAACTGGATCCACTCGGAAGTAGCTGGGGGTTGGACGGGGCTCGTTATTCACGTTATTCTCTTCAGAGACAGCAACAGTAAAACCACGGTCACAACGGCTCCCACCCACGGGTCAAATGCCCGTCGCTGCCGAGCCCTGTGCCGAGTGCTTCACACACACCATGGAACTAAGCCCTCCTGACCCTGTGAGTTAAGCGGTATCAAAATTCCTCCGATTTGCCAATGGGGAAACTGAGGCAAGGAGAAGTTGGGCCACTCACCCCAGGCTACAGTGTTCGCGAGAGGCAGAGCTTCCAAACCCTTAACCCCACTGACCACGCGGCTCTGCCTGTGCAGCTCTGCCCCGCCCTGGAGCATGACTCCGAGCATTTATTATACACATGTGGCCAAGGACTGAGTTAGGGGCACTGGACTCTGGCTTCTCTGCCCTGGCCCCCCTCAGCCAGCCAGCCCAGAGGGTGACAGGATCCACAGGTAGCTGGAAAGAAGGGTCACAGAGCTAGTCCACAAGCCTAAACTAAGCCTCCTCCCCAGCAAAGGAGCAGCCCGGGCTCAGAGAGAGAGATGGAAGTTACTAACACAGGCTTTGGAGCGTGGGTTCGAATCCTGGCTCTGCCATTTCCTGGCTGGGGAACTTTGGGAAAGTTAATTCTCGTTGTCTTGGTTTCCTCATCTGTAAATTTGGGATAATACATTTAACAAGTATTTACTGGGCACGTGGCCCAGGACAGGTACTGTTCTAGGCACTGAGGCTACCACAAGAGGAAGGACAAGAGGAAGTCCTTGTCCTGACATTTTAGTGATAACAGCACCATCGTCCTGGGGTCACCGTGCAGACTCAATGACGAAGTCCACGTAAAGGGCTTTAAATGGTGGTTGGCACAGAAGACATCCTCAACCAATGTCAGCTGTCACTATTATCACTGTTACTACCTCCACTAAACACAGAGCCAAGGCCAAGACTAGGCAGACTCCACCCATGAAGCTCTATTCTTTCTAAACTTCTTTTTTGGCCTCCAGCTGACCTTGGCCTGTCAGACCAGGTGGTCGATAAGATCATTGATTCCAAGTACAACGTTTTTTTCTCACATTTTAACATCTCTGAAACTACTATAGGATCTACCTCCTGATCGACGGTGCATCATGGTTTAATTAACCACTTTTTTTCCCTTCTCATGGTATATAACAGTACATGTAACAATCCACGCTATTTTAGATGAGAAGAAATCTGTTACTACTTCACCCATTTTGCTTTTAAGATGACTGAGGCTCAGAGCAGGGAGAGAGACACTCTGGGTCAGATGTGGTGGCAGCGTGGGGCACAGGCAAAGGCCGTGAGCCACGTCTCTCCCAAGGAGGCCCCTGCCCTGCTAGCCACACACAGGCCTGTCCCCCAGGATGCTGACTGGTCAAGCCTCAGGGACTGAGGCTGGCAAAGAGCTCGTGCCCTTAGGACTTCCTCCGCTAGCCCAGAAGAGAGCGGCACCATTTTCCTATGTCGCATAGGCACTATCCACCTGCCCAACCACGGGGCCCTGGGTTCCATTAGCCAAAAGCAGACACCTTTGTCTAAGTATCAAAAAGTACCACAGAATGATTCCATTTATATGAAATGTCCAGAACAGGCAAATCTGGAAAGATAGGAAGTAGAGGCCGGGCGCGGTGGCTCACGCCTGTAATCCTAGCTCTCTGGGAGGCCGAGGCGGGCGCATCGTTTGAGGTCAGGAGTTAGAGACCAGCCTGAGCAAGAGAAAGACCCCGTCTCTACTAAAAATAGAAAGAAATTGGCCAAACAACTAAAAATAGAAAAAATTAGCCGGGCATGGTGGCACGTGCCTGTAGTCCCAGCTACCCGGGAGGCTGAGGCAGGAGGATCGCTTGAGCCCAGGAGTTTGAGGTTGCTGTGAGCTAGGATGACGCCACGGCACTCTAGCCCAGGCAAGAAAGTGAGACTCTGTCTCAAAAAAAGAAAAGAAAGTAGATTAGTGGTTGTTAGGGGTTGGGGGAGAGAGGGGAAATGACTGCTAATGGGTGTGGGGTTTCAGAGGGAGTGATGAAAATGTTTTGAGATTGACTGTAGTGATAGTTACACAACTCGATGAATAGAGAATATAAAAACTACTGAACTATATACTTTAAATAGGCAAAATGAATGATACATGAATTATATCTCAATGAAGCTATTATTAAGGGGAGAAAATAGGTTGGGGGTAGCTTTCTTCCCGAGACAAAGCCCGTGATTTTAACCACAAGATTACTGAAACCCAGGATCCAAAGAACTGCAACCTTTTGGCGCACATCATCATGAATTGCGTTACTTAGAAGGAAAATACAAGGCCAAGTCAACTGCCACCATCTGTAAGACGTACCACCGCTTTAGAAATGTTAAGTTGTGTAATAACGTGTGTCTTAGAATTGATGAGTTGTGGCTTGCTGCACATGCCAGGAGACATGTGCAAAAATATTCATAGCAGCTTGTCTACAATAGCTACAACCCAGAAGCAATTTACTATCCACTGATGGTAGCATTGATAAACAAATGGTGGCCACTCGTGTGGAGAAATACTATGAAGCAGTGAAAAGAAAGTATAGCTATGCATGGCAACAAAGAAGCCAGACACAAAAGAACACACAGCAAGGTTTCATTCATACAAGCTCAAAACCAAAGTCTGTAGAATAGGAATGTTTCCATTGGTGATAGGACTACAAAGAAAAGTAAGGAAAGATGCTCACGAAAGATAAGAGACTAGTTTATTCCACATGGAAGAGGGAGGGGATATGATTGGGGTAGGACCCTCAGCAGGCTGTCAGTATTCTATTTCTTGACCTGGATGGGTAGAGGAGCTTTGGTTTTCTTCTATCTTTTTGTTGAACTATAACATATAAGCAACAAAGTACACAAGTTGATACATTTTCCTAAACCAAACATACCTATGTAACCAGCACCCAGATCAAGAAATAAAACATTCCTAACACCCCAGAGTTTCCCTGCATTCCCCTTGTGGTCACTATGCCCCCCTTCTAACAGAATAGATTGGTTTTGTCTGCTTCTGTGCTTTCTATAAATGGAATCATAAAGGATATACTCAAATGTTTCCTTTTTAATTGCTCTTAAAACCATGCAATTGTTTTTTGTTTTTT